AGCGAGTCCGATGACGATTCTGACGATGGCCGATCCGACATGTCTTTCGCGTCGCTTGACGAGCTCGTCGCGGCTGCATCCAAGAAGCTTGAATCTAGCGGTGTTGCTAGTGCAGGTATGTACCTAAATTTTCTTTCCCGGGTAGGCGAGTTCGCTAACATGCCTACGCAGGCGAAAGTCGCGACACTGTTCCCGACGTTATCGACGTATCAAAGCCTTCAGTCACCAGTGAGCCTGGCCTAGACGATGAGGTTGCAGACGAGCAGCAACAGAGAGATAGCCAAGGGCCTTCTCCAGAGACGTTGTCTGACTCTCCCCGGCCGTCCGAAAACCCGTGCGGAACGACGTCGAATCACTACGGTTCCATATGCCTTGGCAGCGAAGAATGGGATAGGCCGTTCCCATTTTCCTTCGCGGTGATCCGGCAGAAACGTGCCGCTCAGTCGCAATCCATGTTGGACCCTCATAGTCCACGCCTAGCTGCCTCTGGTCTTGGGTTTGAGTCACAGCAGCAATCTGATGGCCATTGCCTTTCTCAGCACTGTGATCGCTGCGGCGACAGCAGTCAGAAGGGCAGCCCAGAGCACCATCATCTGATCCCAGATGACAGCGAAGAGCGGGCACGAACACCCACACTGCCGGATGACAAAGAGTACCACTGAGCTCGAACCAGCGGATACTGAGCCACGCCTTCGGCCCCAGAGCCTATGCGACGTCGCCTCCAGTCGTGGGGTTGATCCACAACTGAGGTCCGCCAGCTGCCGCCTCGCACAACACCCTGATCACCATGACGACAGCGATCCAGCGAGTGATGGAGAACGCCATCCTCTCGTTCCAGAAGACAGAGAGCAGGATGAGGATGGCACCCCCGCCCTCCAAAACCGTCGAGCTGCGTCCAAATCGACCAGTTAGAAGACAATGCAGCAGCAGAGCAACCTAGCTCTGGCGACAGAAGCTTCGCCGGTAAAGTCTGGGGGAATCGTCACCCCCGGCACTGGGGCGACGCGTCGGAAACATGCGTCGTTCGGCCGCGACGTGAAGCAAGACTCTGGAACAACGAGAGCTAGTACCACCGAATTGCCCGACGTGAAGGTCGACCTTCAGCAGAACCCTGGTCGTTATCGACGGCGGCGTCATTGCGATACTAATAGCAAGGAGGAGTGCTTTCTTAGTGTGGAAAGTGGCGTGAAGCAAGGTAAAGATGGGGATGTCATTCAGCTACCGCAAGGGAAGCGCCGCAAGGCACGTCTTCGCAAAAACTCCCTATCGCTACAGGCTCAACAACCACCACCAACCCAAGGTCCAAAGCGCCGCCAAAGCCAGCGCAGGAATTCCAGGCCGCAATCTTCAGGGGCGTCTACTTTGGAAGAGGGGGCACTTGAAGCCGATTTCGCAAGCTTTGAGGAATGGCCACTTGAAGAGGTCCTCAAGCGCGTTTGGGTGGGCGGGGCAGCGACGTTTCAGGTGGAGTTCACGTGGAATCCTTGTACGAATCATGGCACGAATCATGGCCAACATGACCGCGTATTCGAAATCCCGCGGTGCAAGTCACCAGGAGGGAGGTATTCCTTGACGGCACGTGCCCTCTCTTCAAGAGTTACCCCATCGACTGAGAAGGTTCAAGGCGACGAGTATTATACCGTCGAGGAGATTTTGAGTGAAGACAGGGAGAAAAGGGACTGGAGTCCCTGGTCAAGTGGGCTGGGTATGGGAAGAAGCACAATTTTAGGAACCCACTACCCATTGCGAGGAATGTCCTGAGGTACTAGAGGAATTCCACCAGAAGGTGAGATTGTCCGTGGCTCCTTTGTAAATTCCGAACCGAAATTTTTCGCGGGGCGCCTTATGAGTCGTCGGTGGATGAAATAGAGGAGATATTCATGCGTGCTTCACGTGACGTTAACACATGAGGTTGGGCCGAATACGTACTCTTGAGTGGGAGCGGAGCTGATCGATCATAAAGGACCTTGCAATTTATTGTCTATACTCTATCCCTCTACATTAGCTCCACCTCATCGCCTCTCTATGCTAGTATAAACTTGCTGTCTCACGTCTAAGGCAGGGAGCCTGAATCAATCTTACGACGGCTAGTGAGAGACCATCAGTTGAATGGTTTACGACCTTTCATAACTATGAAAGCGTCTTATTGGGTCGTCCGTAAAAGAAGCACTGCTCAAAAGGCCCTTTGTAGAGAGAGAAACTGAGAGGAGAGAGCTCGGCACTAGCTGTCTGCCGGTAACGTCATAATTAGGACACGTCCCGAATCACAGCCAGCGGCAATCGTAGATCCCGCTACGGCCCAACATCTCGGCCGATATCCTGGAGGAAGCCACAGCCAGTTTTCTGAGTCCCTTGTAATCCATCTGCAGTCCGAGCTTATACCATATTGATAGGGGAGCTTCGCGTCACCTGACCAGGAGGCAAACAACTTCAAGGACGTGACATCATGCGAACGGCTATGCCCCGCGAGCGTCTGCGTGCATGTACCCGTCGCTGCATCCCACATCTTGACGGTCTTGTCGCCCGACCCGGACGCAACGAGCTTCGAGTCGGGTGAGAACGCGACGGACCAGACCGAACCGCTATGCCCCTCGAGCGTCTGTGTGCAAGCATTCCAATCTTCTTCTACAACCGGCCCGGCAGTAATCCACCTCATTTCCCTCTTGTACAGATTTCGTGTCATGCTTCTGGCAGGGCTGAACGCAAGTGCTGAAGCGTATACCTAAAGTGGATAGTTTTCAACTAGCTGACTGCAGTATTGAATATATCGGCGCATGTCATAAACCAGCCTTGGTAATTGTGATGCAACGTTCTTTTG